TACACATACACACACACACATGCACACACACACACATACACACACACACATACACATACACACACACACACACACATACACATACACACACACACACACACACACACACACACACACACTCACATACACTCACCGCCCAACATAAGCGCGCAGACTTGAAACATCTCTCTATAATCTCTATATATTCTATTTGTGACAGTCCGACACTTAGGCCACCTAAAACTTCTGAACCACTTAACTTTTGAATTTGACCAAATTAGTGAAGGTTCAGAATCATTTAAAATGTGCACAGTTTTATTGAGGAGCCTGAAGTCACCGCAGTTTAATTTTCAGTTTTTCAGCAGTTTCGTTTAGATCTAATCTTGGGAAAGGTCCGTCTTCTAAGACGCCATTGTAAACAAGTGAGGTTTCCGTTCACTAGCCGTGCGCACTGTTTCCATACCTTCGAAATTTTGGATGGTAAAACACCGAAAACGGAATAGAGAATCAATCTATACATCAATTATATATTTGGCAACTTGGAAACGCATGTGTCACTTTTCCCATAAAACTACGACAGCTACAGAGTTGAAAATTGGCAAGTAGGCTACCGGCAAAGGGATAGATCTGTCCCCATGACGGAGTCTGATTTTTTAAATTTATTTCCTGAATTTAGACAAATATATTTGACAAAATGTTCCCGTCCTTCTTTGGCTTTAGTGATTATTCCACTTTGAAACGAAACAAATCTGCGTAACTGTCCTTCACAGCGGAAGTGATATTTCGCGAGGCGCAATTTGTTTTGAGAGTATAGATCTAGACTTTCTAATTTTTTGCATCTCTCAAGATTTATTGCTCCATTCCAGTAGAGTGTAAATATAGTAGGCCAATGACTTTCAGTTGATGTTAATGCACCGATCATTTCTTTCATCGAAAGGGGGCCCAGCTAGTCTATTACATTTGACAACGTGGAAACACACGTGTCACTTTTCCCATACAACTACGATAGCAGCAGAGTTGAAAGTTGGCAAGTATCTGCAAAAAGATAGGCAGGTCCCCATGACTGAGCCCGATTTTTTATTTATTCATTTCTTGAATTTAGAAAAAAAAAATATTTGACAACATTTCTTAAATTTAAAAATATATATATTTGACGAAAGTTCCCGTCCTTCTTTGTCTTTTGTGATTATTCGACTGAAACAAAACAAAACTGCGTAGCTGTCCTTCACAACAGGAGTGATATTTCGCGAGGCGCATTTTGTTTTGAGAGTATATAGATCTAGATTTTTTTAGATTTTCTGTTGTTGGTTTTTTTAGATCTCTCAAGATATATTATTGCTTCAATCCAGTAGAGTGTAAATATAGTTGGCCAATGACTTTCAGTTGATGTTAATGCACCGATCATTCCTGTCATCGAAAGGGGGCCCAGCTAGTAATATATCAGGTCAAATGTACTCAGCCCAATTGATTTTATAAAATCTATTTTCTTAACCCTATCCGTACGTCGTGTTTTACTATAGTGTCCATTCGACCCGGGGAACTCTGTGCCACCAATTTCCAAAGAGGAAATTTACTCGTTAATCCGGCTGAACTAGGCTGGAAGGTAGAGGGCTCTCGGTCTTTTCTCAGCTGCTGTCTCCATTCTTTCTTTCTGGTGAGTCTTTCTTCGATCTTGATGACTCCCGATCTTACGAAGTTTCTAATAATACTAACAATGATAATAATGTAGATCATTTCAATAGCGCCCACTCCCTTATGAACACCGCTCTTGGCGAACAATATTCACAAACACACACACACACACACA